GCTCTGTCTCTCTCTCTCTCTCTCAAAAATAAATAAACACCAAAAAAATTTTAAGTATAGGGTAACTAATAATACATTAATGTATCATTTTGACATTGTTTATGAAGAGGTAAAAACAAACCCCTTTTAAAAATAGTGTTTAAAAAAAATTTTTTTAATGTTTATTTTTGAGAGAGAAAGACAGACAGAGTGCTAGTAGGGGAGGAGCAAAGAGAGACGGAGACACAGAATCTGAAGCAGGTTCCAGGCTTTGAGCTATCAGCACAGAACCCAATGTGGAGCTTGAACCCACAAGTGGTGAGATCATGACCTGAGCTGAAGTCGGGCACTCAACCGACTGAGCCACCTAGGCGCCCCCCTAAACAAATGTTTTTGAAGTCTTCAATGTTAGAATCATATATCCGATACCTAGCAAATGTCTGACTTACATTAGGAACTCAACAAATGTTTACCGAATTGTACTCTCAAGAAATCCGCTGAAGGACATAGGCTAGCATACAGGTATTTAGAAATGTCTTCTTTTATTCTTAGAGTCTCAAGGAATTTATCAAATTCTATGATTGAGAAAAGAACATATCAAAAGTATCAAACTTGTAAAGTATTCATTATCATATAAAAGACTTTAAAGATTTCTAAAATAAATCAATTTTATCCTGTTTACAATCCAGTTTAGCAAACTATAATCTAGAAATAATTAATTATATGAATATTTGACAAATACCTCTCAATAGAGGCTCATCAGGGCAAAGAATTTGTTATGTTCCCCACTATATTTCCAGGGTCTAGTATAATACCTGACATACTGTACTCAATATTTGCTCAATTGTTAAATTAACGAATACACAGAGACATGAATATTACACCATGAACAGAAACTTTAAAGGTTATTTTAAAAGTACACATTTTTTATACTAAATAAACTCCTAAAAATTAAAAAAGAAGTACATTTCCCAGACCAAATGAGGGCAGAATTTATAACACAAAATTGCAACATGCTGAAGGAGAAGCAGATTTGGGTGCGGGGAAGACAAGCTCGGTTTTGGAAATGTTGAGCTTGAGGAGCTACAAAAGTGTCAAGCGGAAATACGGTAGAAGCATGTTAGGGTCTGGAGCCCAAAAGAGAGGTCAGAGTTGCCATACATATTTAAGAATCACCAGCCTAAAGGGAGAGAGTAAGGCATAGAGAGAGAAGAGCACTTAGTATTTAACTGTGAGGAACACTTGGGTAGAAGAGGAAAAGCCTGCAAAAGATAGTGAGAGAGATAAGGAAAGCCAGGGGACCGTGGTGTCACGGAGCCAAAGTAAGAAGCAATTTCTAGTTCAACATTACTAGGTAGTCAAGTTAAGAAGAGGACTAAAAAGTATCTAAAACTGAGGTCAATAGTGACCTTGACAAGAAGACTTACAGTCAGTTGGTAGGTGTGCAAGCCAAACCAGAGTAGACTAAGGAGTGAGTGATATGTGGGTAAGTAAAGAGAGTGTGTAGACAAATACTGACAGAGGAGAACAAGAACACAAGAGCTGGCAGGGAATATGTAATTCTGAGATAGATTCTTTTTATCTACTAGTCAGTCCATCCGTCCATCCATCCATCCATCCATCCACTCTCCATCTTTAAAAGTTTAAGACAGGAGAGACTAAGCATGCTTAAATGGTAACAAAAGGGTCCAAGAGGAAGAGGTAGAAAAGGAGAGAGGTTAGGGGCGCCTGGGTGGCGCAGTCGGTTAAGCGTCCGACTTCAGCCAGGTCACGATCTCGCGGTCCGTGAGTTCGAGCCCCGCGTCAGGCTCTGGGCTGATGGCTCAGAGCCTGGAGCCTGTTTCCGATTCTGTGTCTCCCTCTCTCTCTGCCCCTCGCCCATTCATGCTCTGTCTCTCTCTGTCCCAAAAATAAATAAATGTTGAAAAAAAAAATTTAAAAAAAAAAAAGAAAAGGAGAGAGGTTAGTTAGAGCTAGAGCCATACAATCTCTCCCTAGGCACTGGAAACCGAGGAGGAGACTCCTTAAACTAGAGTTTAAACTAAAAACCAAGGAGGTAGAATAGGGATAAACAAAAAAGAAACTCACTCCAAGAAAGATACTTCAATATACGTGATTCAGCGTGACATGTGAAACCAAAAAGGAATGCTAGCTAATCAAAACAGAAATTGTTTGGTGGAAATATTTTTAAGGTGGAAGGAGTCTTAGGGAAATTGGCTGAATAAGTGGTGGGTGGAATTAGGGAAGCAAAGGACCACGAGATCCTGTTGTAGGGGTCTCAGAGAAGGGTAGTTCCCGTGCCAGCCATGAGAGAGCTAAACCTGAAGTCTAGTGTGATGGTATGTCCTCTACAGAAAGAGGAAGAATGAGCTGGTAGTCTGAGGGGAAGAGATGAAACTAGAAAGCTTAATTATACAGACACTATCACGTAACTATAATTAAACGCAGCTAGGTTGTATTCAGTGAAAAATAAGAAAATTTGTACAGTATTTCTCCACTTCAGATAGAATCCCAGTATTTCATTTTTGCACCTGAACAACTAAGTGCTCAAAACTTAAGGCAGCCCATGAGAGCCCCCCTTGTGGAGGAGAGGCTGACATGACTCGCAGGACACACAAATCTCTCTTGTGAGGAGGGACCTGGCTGGTTCAGTCATACAGTCTTTCTGATTAATTTGTATCTCTGTATTAAAACTTAACAACTCTGATCCATATTTGACTTTTGTTTATTTTGTTTTAGCTTCTGACATTTTGCCGTTGCCCAGGGCCAAAGTCTGCCAAACATTCAGCCACATGTACCTGTAAATACAGGAGTCACTAAGTGATTCTTTTCATTGGTGTCTTACCAGAACCTAGCCCAATGTCTCCATGGAGAAGGCCCTCAACAAATACTTTGATAGAGGGAAGGAGCAAATGCGTGAATGGTCCCATGGAGAGAGGAGATGATGGTCACCAAATCTCCCTGCGAAGGGGTCCTTTACAAACCAAGGGCCCTTTGGCTGTCTGTTGAAGCCCACAGACCACTTCTCAGAATAGTGTTTTTAAATGCACAGTATGACAGAGGAAACTAATCATATTGCAATACAGACAAAAGAAACGAATTACGGTGAAATATACTGAAATCAAAATAGAAAGAGAAGTTGTGACATCATCACAAACATGGTTCCGGGGCACGCGCTGAGCTCGTCAAGTCCCAGACATCTCTGTAGAAAGATCTGGCCGGGCTACTTCACTAGCAACACCACCAACTGATAGCATCTGCAGGTTTTGTTTTCAGTTTCTCAGAGAGGAATTCTCCAAACTCCTGTCTGGGAAGACGTGTTCTCAGGACAAAGTGGCAGAAAGAGGCCGTGGGAACTCCATGGTTCGCTGTGTCATTTTTCACCCCAAGGAAACAGTAGTTTCCTTGTTGTGGCCTCACCTTCAGCCCCTCGTCCCTGAATCTAGTCTTTCTACTTAACCCTTTCAGTCTTCCTGGAAGGTAAGGGAAGCATGGCTGCCTGGGTGAATAGGGGAGACAGAGACCCGGAGGCTACCTGTTTCTTATATAGACTTCCAAACAACCCTCCTATGTCCCATGGCACCTGTGTTCCTACTCTGAGGGAGTCCTGAACCTTTCTGGGGGCCAGAAGTGCAAATTAGTTTGCCTTGGGGCTTCTCACGTTGCTAGCTTAGGATTCAACTGTGATCAGGGATGCTTAAATTGGCTACAAGTAGTATTCCTGCTGTCCGTCTTCCAAAATTTGGTTGCTATATTCTTTCATCTTTTCTGAGTACATACCTATTTTACTCCTTTACTTTTGTTTATGGGGTTTAATGAGGAAGCAACAGTAAATGTATTTAATCTGTCACATTTTACTGACATTGCCACTAATAGTTTTACAAAGGAGAAAAAGTCTTAAAAATCAAACTTTGAAGTAAATTCCTCAAAAATTCATCTATTTTATAACAATGGTTGTCCCATCAAAGATAATCAACATAATTATAACCGTAACTTCATGAAGGCATCTTATTCACCACTGCATTATCCAGTACCTAGCATAGTAGAGGTGGTCAATACTTAATAAGTGAACTGAATGAATACAGATATGATAAAAAGTTGAGATCTTTAGATTTTATGATTTCAGCACTTATCAAATTCACTTAGGACTACATGGGCAATAGTCCAAAAAGCAAATGTTCAGAAATAGATACGCCTAATTTGGAATTCAAGACCAATGTGTTTTACAACCACAAAGTTCTTCACTACAAAAATTCCACTGTGATTCTGTATTCTAACTAATAATTTCTTAGATAAAAATGAATTGGCATTCAAATTCATCTAGTTATCTTGCATAACCAGTAGTGTAAAAATATAATTTTTATTACAGCTGCTACATGAGGAGTATTTAACTAGAACTAGATGTACAGTTTTAAATGTCATTAAATGCACCTGTAATAATAAAGAGTTCTACTGAAAGTGCAAGGTCCTCTATATTCAAAATCTGCACGTTAGCTATCAAATTTTAGTTCAGCTATCACAAATTACTTCAATAATTTTAGATTGTTGAAGAAGTAGGTCTAGTAGATCCTTGTCATTTTTGTCAAGTGAATTCGAAGGGCCATCACGACATGTCCTACTTTGTAAATATAATGTAAACTGTATGTCCTTTGTTTTGTAATGGTCCACTGGTTATCACCTAAGCCATAATTCTCCTAAAGGGCCCAAAGGATTATTCAAAATTTTCAGTCATATTTTATAGGGAAAGTTAAATGCATAGTTTTGATTTGTTTTAGACTGGGGAATTCTGATATATTCATTAAATGTTTACTGCAATTCTAGCAAGATGGTTCCATGTTCCATGGTAATTTAAGCTAAAACTCTTTACAGTCATTCAGGTCAAGATGTTCCTCTAGGCAAACCTGCCCCAAAAATCCATAATCCATATGGTACTATCCTGACAAATGCTTCTTCTACAGCTCATTTTTTATCATTGTGTACATTCCATTGTTACTAACTTCAAATTAAAATATAATACTCACTTCTTCAGCCACAAACTCCTTACTCAGACCAAAATCTGTCAGCACCACGTGGCCATTAGAATCAAGTAGAATGTTCTCAAGCTTAATGTCACGGTATATAATCCCCAACTGTAAAAACAAACAAATATGCATTTTAAAATAACAGTTTCCAAAAAATAAATTAGGAAAGTCTTTGTCTACCTTAAAAACAAACCAAAAAAAGGATTCTCCTGCTCAGGATGCACTAATGGCTCTTAGTGACTGGCCATGGCAAATGTGAATTCCTCTATCTCAGGGCTCATCTGCTGGGCTCGCTGGACCTCTCCTACCTCCTAACTCTTCCTTCTTTGTGTAACGAAGGTCCATCTTTGTTGGACCAGCTTCTGTGGGGTCTTTCTGTTGACTGTTGCTTCCTCCTATCTTCTTAATTATCTAATCCTCACTGTACATGATCTTCTTCGGGTACTTTTAGCCAATTCGTGTCCATCACTTGCTAATGGATTCGGAGGCTTTCCTGACTAACCAGATTCCACGCTGGTCATGTCTTTCTTTTTCTTCTTACAGCACCTACACATACATTGCACTTATCTAAAAATAACTGATATTTTCTAGGTGTTTCCTCCTTGTCTTGATATAACCATACTCTAACTCTGTTCTTCACATTTATCTAGTATCTTGCAAAGCATCAAATAGATAATTAATAAAGGCTTGTTGAATAATAGGCTTCTAAATAAGCAACAAGTCAATTAGATAACATTTATACATCCCTCCATTTTGTTTTGCATGTGTTACAGTAAAACACTTCAGCTATTTCTTCAGCTAAGTAAATCTACACAAGTCATATAAGTTCTTGATATATGTGCATTGCATATTTCATGTTATGTCAGCCTAAATTAAATGTTTTTAAACTTAGAAACCCTGCTTTCTACAACATTAAGTATATGAAAAAGCAGATTCGTACTAATTTCTTAAAATTGAAACAAAAAATTACAGAAGGAAACATGCTAGGCAATTTCCCTCCTGGAACTTCAGTGTTCTACAAGAAAGAGAGGATAATATCTGCAGTCCGAGCAGACATCTGACTCGAAGCTTCATGAATATCTAACAGCCAGTGTGACTTTTTTTTCTTTGAAACAAACTCTTTGAAAACAATTTTAGAAATAAATTATTTACCATCTGCTTCACCTCATCACTTCCAAGGAAACTCTCATTTTTGTCTCTTCTCAGGAAACTCAATGTTAGCAGCTGTGTCAAGGTTAATATTCCTGGCTTCCTGTTGTATCTCTTTGCATTTATCTTTTTAGGGTAGTAAGATTAAGAGAAACTTAGCTGAGATCTGATTTGCTACATTACTTTCACTCTACATCAATTACATGTATATCCAGTATTCATCAGGTTTTCTACTTCTGATTACCCTGTTTTAATAATAACAGGTGTTCATGGATTTTTTTCTTTAATAAACAGAATTAACAGAATTAAAGATTTCACACAAATTAAAAACTGAATTTAGTAGCTTACCCATTGCAGCTTTGTATTTGTTTTGCTTGTTTCTACTCTGGTTATTTATGGTGATTTCTACCATCGTTTTTATATCATAAAAACTTACACCTAAGCATAAAACTCCAAGATCTTTTCAACCCATTCCTGGGCCCAATTTGGTTCATATATGAAGATGCCCTAACTGCTTTATATCCCACGGATACTCAACCAGCAAAAGCTGGCCACCCCAGGACAACTCCACCCAAAGGAATGTCTGTCAGCTCCCTTCCTGCTCCTCTGTCCCTTTGGTCCACACACTGCAGCCCCACCCGCCATGCCCACCAGGGCCTTTTCTTTCCCTCCTGTTCTTATACATTTTCATCCACTCTCTGTAAGACTCCTGCTCTGACCACCCCCACCCCCCCATCCAGTCCTGGCTCTGTTCTGCTCTAGATGTCCCTTTTCCTTGATCCCCTCCTTCTGTGCTTGTGTCTTCTCACCATCTTTTCTCACAGCCTCTCCCGTCCATTGCCTCCATCTTGCAATTCCAGTCTCCTTGCCACTTTAAAATTTTCCTCCCTCTTCCCTGCCTTTTCCTTCATCTCTCTCCACTCCTGTCCATGCTCCAAAAAAACACCACTTTAATCCCTGTTCATGTCTAATCCAGTGCAGGATCTGAATTCACGACAAAGAATAGTAGCTCTACAATGCACCTGTCTCATCCTAATGTAGCGACTCAAGTCATGATGGCCTCATGATCTCACACACTTTGATGAAAATTACTCAAATACTTTCTATTTCTGAGGAAATACACACACGCTTGGTCTACACAGCTAACTGCTTCTATAATAATCCATCCTCATTAAGTTAAAAAAAATTTAGTCAAAATTTCTTCAATCAAGATTAATAGTATCTGAAATAATATATATATTTTTAAAGTTCGAATGGATTTTATGGAGTTCAAACAGCAGCACAGGCATGAATTCCACTCAAAGTTTTTAGCAACTGAGTTCACGCTACATGGAGACAATGGAAGAGGAGGGACAGAGAGGGAACAAGAGGGGGGCCCCAGGGGCAAAACAAAGGCAAAGGCAGACCAGAGTGGGACAGCGGGGTAGCTGGGTAGCGTGGCAGGCGCTTCTTTCCAAAAACTCATATTCTCCAACTTAATCAGGAAATATACCCTGCAAACAAACAGGCAGAGTCTGCAACGGAGTAAGTCACAACTAAGCAAATATAGATTATGACTTGTGGTTTTATTTCAAAGGTTATTTTAAGAATGAAAAGCTTTTATTCTAATGGTACTTTGTAATAAGCATTAGGATTTTTCATAAACAAGAACCAAAGAACTGCTCACATTCTACCTTTTTAATCCGTATCACAGGAACTACCAAGAAAAAAAAAGATGATTTTTGAAAAAGGGAACTACAGAATTGAGAATACTGGCAACGGTGTGTAAGTGTGCTTTCACAATCTCCACAAAGACAATGACGTTTAAAACAGTAGCTCTTTAGCTCCAGCATTACCTCAGTTAAAATAGATTTTTTTTCACGAAAAGAACTCTCAAAGACTGAGCATCTTACCTTGTGGAGATGTTCGAGGGCAAGCACAATCTCTCCAACATAGATCCGCACCTCGTGCTCTGTGAAACGCTCTCTTTGAGAAAGATGAGTAAAAAGTTCTCCACCATTTATATAATCTAAAAATGAAATATATTTTTTTCTTTCTTTGACTTGTATTCATAAACTTAAGGAAGTATTCCCTTTTAAACATTTTGGATTAACCACAAGGCACTGACTTTAATATATTATTTTTGTATAATTCTTTGTCTATAGTATATAGTTTCATCTAGAACATATTACTAAATACATATAGTAATACATTTCATAAGATAACGACTACCCTAAGCCACAATCAAATGAATGTGCATGGAGTATTGCCATTAAAACTATTACATGACATCTGTATATATTTAAATACATTTTTCCAAATGGCAGTGTATCAAAACCTCTGCCATCACCACATAACACTTAGCTTGCTGTGGAGTACCAAAACATCAACCATTGCAACAACTAAGATAAAAAAAGGAACAGAACAAAACAGAACACAAAAATCTCAGCTTTTCCTTTGTAATAGCTGCCAGTCACTATCTGAGCAGATTCCTTATTTTCTAGAATTTTCTATGTACCCTTTCAAAAACACGTTTCAGGTATTATTGCTCTATGCAGCCCATAAGTAAAAGTGGCACAAGGTGGCTGAGTCAAACACCTGACACTGAAAGATTCCCATTTCCCTCTTAATTGGCCCCATTTATCCCAAGAATAATGAAATTAGAGACAAAAAAGGCTACAGTAAGAAATACATAAGAGAGCTGAATAATAATAATAATATAACATAATAATATATTATAATGTGATTAATAATATAATTACTAATTATAAATATAATTATTATAATATAGACAGTATAAATATAATTATATTTAATAATAATTACCATTATTATTTGTAAAAATTATTTGTAATTAGCTCTAATAAGACATTTATTGATAATCTGATAGTAGCTTCATCAGAAACTAACCACTGCTACCTGACCACACAACATCTACGTGTGAGAAACAACATATACCTAGAAAATAGTCACAGATGTAATTTAAAGCTTTCCTCCTAAAAATCTGAGAAGCATGCATCCCAAGTATATTCATTTATCAAGTTCAGCAAAATTTGAAAAAGGAACAAAGCAAAATCTTCACGAACTTGCAAATTTTTGTTTCATCTTGCCTGGTTAGCGTTAAATTCCAAAAAAGCAGATGCAACAGAATGAAAGAACTCTAATGGTTGTTTTGCAGTGTGTTTTACAAAGCGCGTGCCAATAAAAAGCATTGCCCTTCTAAGGCTTCTGCATTTTGCTCAGAGGTTTTAATTCTATCTTAACACAAAGCTAATTATTAAAAAGGTGTAAAGGAACACAGCATTCCTGCCAACTAACAATGAATTTTTTCTACCTTTAAGTAGTTATTTACTTAAATCAAATACTGATGTTTATGCATACATGGTTTCCACACTTAGTCATGACACAGAAACAGACACCCACAGGTCAGCTGACCAACTGACAAACTCCTACCCATCCATCCTTGCATGTCCTATGCCATTTTCTCATCTTCAATAACCACTCCAGCAGTTGATTACTTCCTTTTTTGTTAGCCACTGTGCTTACTAAAGACTTCTCCCACTGCAGTTATCTTACTGTATTGAAAATGTTTATTTGCACACTTGCCTTCTCTACTAAACTCTGAGCTTTCTACAAGTCTGGATCAATGTATTCATCTCTACAAACAGTACCCACATACAGGAAGCACTCCATAGATATATTAATTAAACACAGATTCTTTACAGTGGAATAAATATTAAATATACTCTGAAAAAAATCACTCTGAAACTCAAAGGCAAGTGTGTTGTAAAAAGAATCCAATATACTATCTTTAAGGGACCTCAATATAGGCCATAGGACCTGGGCTTTGTAACTCTCAGACTGGGATCAAACAGCGGTTTCACTGTGTCCTGCCTTGAGCAAATCAAGATTCTCTCAGCTGCAGTTTTTATCCATACAATGGAAATGGTTAACTACTGTGGATTATGGTTGCTTGGAACATAGAAAGTGGTTTATTTTCCATTTACTGGGGAGACAGAGAACAACTAATGGCAAACTTAAGAAAACAAACCTAAAATAGCATCAAGTAACCTACTTTCTACTTTTGGAATCGCCCAAGAGCCAAAGGTGAAGACCTGACTTTCATAAAATAAACATGTTTTATTTGTAGGTACATGGTTGCGTACTTTACAAAGTGAACAGCCAGCTCTACGCAGCGGTCCAGGTATCGACGGTGGTAAGTAGATACAGAAGCTGCCAAAGGGCTATAATGGCAGGAACTATGGTACAACTGAAGTGTCCTTATGGGTTAAGTACTTGTGCTAATCAGTGGCTGGGATATGAGGTCAGTGAGAATTTCTATAATGTAAGCAGTTGGTACTCTCAGTCATTATAATTTTAGTTGTTCTGTTTAGTGTGTTGTGGTATCTCCTTACGGTTTAATTTGCACTTTCCTGAATCATAATGATACTTAGTATCTTTCCATGGCTTACTGGACATTTAAAAAAATATTTACTTATTTTTGGGAGAGCACAAGTGGGGGAGGGCCACAGAGAGGAGGACAGAGGGTCAGAAGCCAGCTCTGCACTGATAGGCTGAAAGCAACGAGCTCGATGTGGGCTCAAACTTATAAGCCAGGAGATCATGACCTGAGCCAAAGTTGGACACTCAACCCACTGAGCCACCTGGGTGCCCCAGCTTATTGAACATTTTTATATCTTCTTTGGTGAAGTGTATTAAAGTGGGTTTTGTTTTGTTTGCCTCTTGATGTTTATATTTTTTTAAGTTTATTTTTGAGAGAGAGAGTGTGCAGGGGAGGGAAGGGGCACAGAGAGAGAGAGAGAGAGGGAATTTTCCAACCAGGCTCCACGTTCTTAACACAGAGCCTAACACGGGCTCGATCCTGCAAACCGTGAGATCGTGACCTGAGCTGAAATCAAGAGTCAGACACATAACTGACTGAACCACCCAGGGGCCCCTGATTTTCTTTTCTTCATTTGAAATATAGTTCACATAGGAGCACCTGGGTGGCTCAGTTGATTGAGTGTCTGACTTTGGCTCAGGTCATGATCTCATGGCTTGCGGGTTCGAGCCTGATGTCGGGCTCTGTGCTGACAGCTCAGAGCCTGGAGCCTGCTTTGGATTCTGTGTCTCTGGCTCTCTCTGCCCCTCCCCACTCACTCTCTCTCTCTCTCTCTCTCAAAAGTAAATAAACATTAAAAAAAACTGAAATATAATTCACATACCATGAAATTCGATAGTTTTTAGTATATTCAGTTATGCAACTATCAACACATTCAATTTTAAAACATCTTCATCACTCCATCCAATTTAAATTCCAATTTATCTTTTTTTTCTTTAGTTGCCTGTGCTTTTGATACCATATTTAAGAAACCATTGCCAACACCAAGGTTGCAAAGATTTACCCATCTTCCACTAAGAAATTTTTTCATTTTAGCTCTTACTTTTAATCTTTGAAACATTTGGAGTTAATCCACTCATGTTGAACAAAGCAGTGAAAGTGGATATTCTTGCCTTGCTCCTGATTTTAGGGGGAAAGAATGGCTCTTGATTTTGACGAAGTTCGCTATTCCTACCAAAAAGTAGCAGTAGGAATGTCTTTATCACAGAGGAGTGTTGACTTTTGTCAAATGTTTTTCTATGTCTACCATGATGGAAGGCAGCTATGCTCACCACTATACCACCAACGCTACCATGATGATAATATGGTTTCTGTCCTTTATTTGACTAGTAAGGTATATTAATTGATTTTCACTTTTCCTTGCATTCCTGGGATAAATCCTACTTGGCCACAGTATACCTTCCTTTTAATATGGTGCTGGATTCAGTTTGATAGAATTTTGTTGAGGATTTTTGTGTCTTTATTCATAAGAGATATTGGTTTATAATTTTCTTGATTTATCGTGATATTTTTGTCTGGTTTTGGTGTTGAGGTAATACTGGCCTCAAAGAATTGGTTGGAAAGTGTTTCTTCCTCTTCTATATTTTGGACATTTGTGAAGACTGGCATTAATTCCTTCTTAAACGTTTGTCAGTATTCACTACGGAAGCTATATGGGTCTGGGCTTTTCATTGTGGTTAGTTTATTACGTTTTCTTCTTCAATTTACTTACTTGTTATAGGTCTATTCAGATGTTATATTTCCTCTAGTCAACTCTGATAGTTTGTGCCTTTCTAGGAATTTATTTCACCTAAATTGTCTAATTTCTGGCAGACAGTTGTTCACAGTTTTCCCTTATGACCCTTTTTAATTCTGTAGTTAGTAGTCCCTTCTTCTATTCCTAATTTTGCTGACTTGAGCCTTCTTCCTGTTTTACTTGGCCAATCTCACTACAGGTTTGTCAATGAATCATCATTTGGTTTCACTCATTTGCTTTACTGTTTGCACATTCTCTATTGGATTCATTTCTGCTCTAATCTTTATTATTTCCCTTGTATCTGCGTGCTTTGGTGTGAGTTAGCTCTTCTTTTTCCAGTGCCTTAAGGTGGAAGATAAAGTTACTGAATTGGGATCTTCTTAAAAAAAATTTTTTTTTCTTCTTTTTCAATTCAGGCAATTACAACTATGAATTTCCCACTAAGCACTACTTTAGCTGCATCTCATAAGATGTGGTATGTCATGTCTTCATTCTCTCTCATCTCAAAGTATTTTCTGATTTCTCTTTAGAGTTGTTCTTTGACACACTGGTTACATAAGAGTAAATTGTTAAATTTCACAGTTGTGAATATCCCAAATTTCTTTTTGTTATTGATTTCTAACTTCATTCCATTGCAGTCAGAGAACATACTTTGTATAATTTTAAACTTTTTAAAATGTATTGAGGTGTTTTTAAAAAAAAAGATTTAAGTAAAATTTACACCCAACGTGGGGCTCAAACTCACAACCCCAAGATCAAGAGTCAATGCTCTTTCAACTGAGCCAGCCAAGCACCCAGAGGTGTATTTATTTTTTTAGTGGCATACCATATGGCCTATCTTAAAAGAATGTTCCTTATCCACTTGGGAAAAATATGTACTCAGCTGTGTTTG